CCCCAAAACCCCAAAACCCCAAAACCCCACATGTCAAGTTTTTATTTAGATGGAAATAAATTTAAATTTGGAAGTTAAATATTTTGATTTTAATTTCTTCTTATGATTTAAAATACAAATATGATAATTTAGCAGAACTCATAACAGTAGCAGTAATAATCATAGCCACTTGCTACTTAAGTTCAAATAAGATAAAATCTTGCCCTTAAATAAATTGATCAGAACGCCTAACCTCTGTTATCTCAAGCTTAACCTCTCTCACCAACAAACACAGCTATCTCTGCAGCAAATAGATAAAGTCTAATGGATCAGAAACTCATAAATAATGGTGGTAGACAGCAAGAACTAAAGGGAGTACCAAATATTGTGGGTCTAACCTCCATAGATTATTCTTTAGATGACCAATTGAAGATTGAACTTGAAAAAATTCAAACCCCTTTAGACTTTTCTGAATCATATTGTAAGAATTAATGGTAATTAATGAGCAATTTTTATAGTAAGTAATATATATGATGAAAACTCTGTTGAATTCCCGTTTAAATAAGGAGCAGAACTTCAAAAGCCAAACGAGCATTACTAGCTATTTAAAATCAATTTTAGATTGCCCCATTTAATGTCCCTAGAGCACTTTGAAATTTAACTTCAGAATTAAAATGCTGAGCTATTTAGCAAATATTTTAAGTTTCTGACTATTGAGACTTCCTATCATGAGCCAGCCAATAATACAAATAAATAAAAATTACATCTCAAAAGTGCATTTATGGACCTTAATAAACAGTAATTAGAATTTGGTTTTATCAATTTATAGTATTCTTGAATTGAATACAGCAGGTGTCTCTCAAAATGTGAGTCTAGTATTTTTATACAACCTCAAAAATCGTCCTAATATGAGAATGATTATGGAAATGACTGAAAAGAAAAAAGAGAAAATGTTCTCAAAGACAGTTAATGTTTCTGAAAAGATCAAGAATGAAATACTACCTTTATTGAATGGTTCAGATGAAGATATTGATGAATTAGATGATGAAGTTGCCATGATATCTAACAAAAGAGGTGTGAATGAAAAATCTTAAAATAGAGTGAGCAATGATAGACTAAAGGATGTTATATCAACCGATGATATCAAAGTTGAATTCAAGGGTTAATAAAAATCAAATCAACCTAAAAAAAACAGTAAACTTTAAGAATATCAAAGAACTACTTAAAATACAAATAAAAACTTGTTAATCTAAACTTCAAGCCAGAGCAACAATGATGAAGATGATGAAGAAACTAGAAATTTTAATACTTTGCCTCGAAATTATTCTGATCCATTAAATAAAGTACCAATCAGTGTCCCCAATCCAAGCTCATATAATAATGACATTGAATTTGGAACACAATAAATGGAATAGCATTTACTCTAATAAGATTTGAATAATGATTAAGATTCTTAAAATCTTCAATATAAATCTTAAAGTGAGATTTTCCATTTTGCAGAACAAGAAATCTTTAGCCAAGGCTCTGAGTTGCAATAAGAGATTCGCCAAATTTTGCAAAAGACTGTACAGAGCATCAAAGTTACTGGCTTCAACTGCAATAATATTCCTGCTATTACTAATATGACTCACTTTATCAATTAGTCATTTCTTCTTAAGTAAAAGAAATTAATTGATGATGCTCTTGAATATGAATTCATGAGTGGCATACTCATGATTAGTACTAAAAGATTTACCTAAGCTTTAGAAGTTTTTAGGAAAATTTAGTATTAATACATTCTGAAGATTGAATCTCTTTAAAAAAACTAGAGTAACTCCACTGTGAAATAAGCAATAAAGAAACTATTTGTAAAATGTTCTATTCTAGAGTTACTGATTGCTGAATCAATGTGCCAGCCTAATCAAGTAAATGATAAACTATAGTCTCTTTAAAGAATGGTTGAATTATATCAATGCAAGTTAGTCCCTAAAATGACCTTTGCACCTTAAGTACTTTAGAGTGAAGATCCATTCTCAATTATGATTAAATTCTTACCATAACTACTTAAATTTACAGTAATGTGCCTTACTCACAAAAAGGAGATCGTCAAAATGTCTGCTCTAAAGTTACTTGAGTATATACTAGAGACTCAAGGTTGTTCTCTAGATTTAGCAATGGTATTTATTCTGAAAGCTCTTATGAAAACATATCCTACAAATTGGCTTGAATAATAATCAAAAGAAAAGGATAATCTATTGCATTATGAATCATTTAGTGTTAAAGGTTTAACTTAATCAGTTCAAGAATTTTTCCAATATTAAGAAACAACTTCTGAAGCAAGAGATTACTTTAATAAGGATGAACATACTAAATATTCATCAATTAAAGAGCCTACCTCTGGATTTTAAAATGCACTGAAAAACGCTTATAATCATGCCATAGAAACCTATATCAGTGTATTAAGTAGTATTTCTTCACATATTCTTCATCAGGTATTCTATGAAGTTATCTTGCCTTAAGTAATTGCTTCAACCCAGGATAGAGGAGTCTATGATATCAAAATATTTTCAATAAAGATTGCTGAGAAAATAATAACTATATGTTAGGGAGACTTATTTTTGACTAAAGGAGTACTTGAATATTTCTTGCAAGCCGTTATTCCTAAAAACCCAGCTGCTTCTTAATCTTAGCCTGTTTCAGCTAATACTAGTCAAAATTAAAATGATACAATCTAGACTTCAATTAGAAACCTTTGGTCTAGTATCAGGACTAAAGTATTTACAAATTACTCTTAAAAGGGCTTGAAGATTTTGATAGAATGGCTTGTGGATAAAATGAGTTTAATCGCTTAAAATGCATAGAATAACGTTGGTCAGAATTTACCAACAGATGGAAGTTAAAATCCAGACATTTCAAAGATCGAAATAAATGATGAAGAATGCCAGTAGCTACTTCAATTATTTGACATAGTCTCAATGATCTCAATTGGAAGGAAAAATAATGAAGCTGAAGCTAATTCGTTGATAAAGATTAAGCAAGAATACTGCTTAGAATTATATGTGCTCATTAATCCACTGATGTTTTGGCTTGATTTCTCTGTTGAAAGAGAAGATAGATTCCCATTATTCAAAGCAATATATTCTACTATCAAAGATGTTTTGGATAATCTACCACCGAAAAAGAATGATATTGACTTGCTTTAAATCATGGAGCCTATACTTTTAAGAACTAAAGATTATCTTAAAAATAACTCACCTTCTTTGCAAATGCTTAAGTTCTTAGACTTAGTTCTTAGAGATATTAAATAACAAGGATATTGTCAAGGTAATCCAGAGTTGCAGTAATTCTTCCTGGAAATGCTTGATAACTTTGTTGGGTATATTTCTTATTGCCTTCATGAGGAAGTATTTTCTGTATTTGATAAGTTATTTGCTTTAAGCAGTGAAGTAGTAACCAAAGATGTAACTATAAAATGCATTTAAGCATTAGTTGATAAATATACAATGAAGAACAGAGCTCATAAGAATAGTATGACAATATTTATGAAGAATCTTTTAGAAGTAAGTGTAAAGGAACACCTAAAAAATGATCCCTCCAATGATACAGTTGGGGATTCAGATGAAGATGTAGATGACCATATCTCTATAGAGTCCAAGAATGGTTACTTTGAAACTCTTTGTGAATTCTGTTTTTTCAACAACTAGGATCCATTTCCACTTGAAGGTGCTCCTAAATTCAGAGAAGATTTTAAGTCCCCAGTCGATATTCATGATCTCTACGTAGACAAGTTGTAATTTTTCATAGATATTTTCCAATAACTATCTGAGATGCATGTTAGTCTTTTTACTAAATTTATTGCCAACCCACTCTTCAAGTAAAATTTACTAGGACTTCTTGAAAAAGGTGAAATCTAATTAAGATTGAAATGCCATGAAATTCTTGAAATAATCTGTAATTATTACATCTAGCATTGCCCAAGCAAAACGATCTATAAGCTTTAGAATCCTGATACCAGTAGAAATTAAAATGAAGTTATTGAAGTCTAGTACATTAACCACGAGAGACTTCAACTCTCTCAAATAGTACTAAACTGTATTTAGTTAAGTTTAGACAAGCAAAATGACTCCTATCTTTAGTTCAATTCCCTAATCCTACTTGATTTTCTATTTTAGCAAATGCTTCCTGTTCCTACTTATCAAAATGAGATTCAAAAAGAAAAAATAAATTAAAGTAATAGAGACAGAAAGAGTGAGAAGACAATTGACTTGTAGAATGATATCATAACAGAAACAACTCCTGAGGTAAGATATATACTACTTAATTATCTAATAGTTTGAGGTTACTTCAAGCTAATATACTCTATTGAGATTGGATTTAATATTTAAATTATGGCCACATGTTTAAATAGCACTAATGTCTCCTTGGAGTAATATAAGATCAATTTGCTACGGGCTTATCTGTTCAATGCTTAAAGTAGATGTGAGATCATTATAAGCTGAGAAAACCTTAGCAAATCCATAAGTTGGGCAATTATACTCTCAAAAACTAAAATAGCTTGTTATTCCAATGTTATCTAGTTTGCTATCATCTAAAGAATCAGAATCAAAAGCAGGAGGATTGAATATTCTCGGATCATTTTGTGGTCTCTCATACGATTTTTCCAAAGTCAAAATATCATAAAATATGGAGTTCTTTAAGAAAAACTCAAAATTTATTTCCAATTAGATTTGGCAATTAGTATTCGAGCTTTAAGATGACTGGGATATCACAATTAAAGAAGCATCAGTAGTTCTGATTCAGCTATGCGCACCAAGAAATGCAGTGAGATATTTTGATTCTAAAAAGAAAGAAATTTAAGAAAAGAGATTCAAACAGATCCTCTCTGGCTATGGCTTAGGAGATAATGGATTGAGTGGGCAAGATAGCAGCAGAATGTCATCTGCCAGAGACCCTAATATTTTCATTCAACATTCAGTTGCTTCTTAAGAGGATACAATCTTATTAGCAGAAAAGATGAGCAGTAAATTGAATACATTAGGAAGTGGAAACGGGAACAAAAATATACTCAATTATCTTAACAATAATTAAGATGACATGAGTATGATCTTCTAGCTGGAACAATAAAATAATGGATAATAGTTTGCTGGAAGTTAAATATTTGATAGAATTGGAGATACTATCAACTCGGGTCTTTTTACTCAGAATGTTATGAACTAGATTATGGAGTTGAACGATCAACAAAAAGAGCTTGATTTAGATGAAGATATTAGAAGGTTTGAAACAAGAGGTTAGATAATTGAAAATGAAGAGGAAAAATTTGAATTCTTTGTGGATAAATATCAAGATGATCAAATCCAAGAAATAATATCGATATTTAGAAATGACTTTAAGCCACCAAAGAGTTTATGGATCGAGAAGAATCAACAAGGAAGCAGTTATAACTCTCCTGATTACTATGCTGAAATATATTCCTAGGCAATTGACCAGTTTAACTAATAGTAAATGCAGCTACAACAGCAGTAGTAGTAATAGCAATAGCAAATGGTGAATAATAGTCCTAAGAACAGCAATAAGCCAAATATCTAAGGAAGTCTTGTTGATGCCTTAGAGGATGATCTTGTTAAGAAATTTGAAAATGAGAAGAAGGAAAAAGAGAAGCTACAAAACAAAGACTAATAAAAAGAAGGCGGATAAAAGCAAGGCTAAGAGAATTACAAAATTTTTGAAAGACATTATGAGGATGGCAAGGAAGAGTAAAAATAAGAAGTCCAGCAAGTGATTGAGCCTATATAAATACAAATTCCATAACTTTTAGATGGAAGCATCGATGCAGAACCATATTAGTTCCTAGACAACAGCCCACCAAATGAATCATCTGAGAAAGCCCAGCAACCAAAAAAATAAAAGAAGTCAAAGGAGGAAAAAAAGAAGAATCAAAACTAAAACCAGACTTTACCCTAAGCTCAGCCTCAACCCCAATTATAACTTCAAATCTTAGATGTGGCTGATCAAAAGTAATTCTCTAACAATCAAATGAAGATTACAGAAAATCCAGGAATAACCTTCAACGAGGATACTTTTAAATCAAGAAAGAAGTCAGGGCCTAAAGATAAAAAGACAACTGATGAATTGATAGAGGAATATGAGAGGAAGATATCCAAAACTAAATAGCTCTTAGAAGAAGAAAAGAAGAAGTCTAAAGCAGTAAATCATAATATCTATGAAACAGGAGATAAATAAATTTAGCTAGAACAAACAGTAAAATCAACTCCTGATTTCAAAAGCAAGAAGGAAACCGCAGCTCCCCACAATTAGGCAAAGCCCTATTAATATTATGACGAACCTCAAAATAATCTAACAAAAAGTAACGAGAAGAAGAAAGGTTCTCAGTAGTATGTGACTGAAGTTCCAAAAAGTTACCAATCAAATTTAGACAATGCCAAACTTATGAAGCAAATTAATAACTGCTTTAATGATAACTCCTTTAATAACATCAACATAGGTCCAGTTGTAATGACTGCTACCATTGGAAATACAATTGGCTCAACAAAGCACAAATAAAAACTAAACAAATCTTTTGAAAACATTCTTGCTGCCAATAAGTACAACCTTAAATAGAATGATCAAGTGAAGTCATCAAAGTAAAAGAACTTAAGCACTTCACCAAGAAGAGGTTCATCAAGTGGAAAGAAGAACAACTATAAAGGAAGTGGTAATAGTAAAAAGAAGTATCTAGACTCGTCTTACTAAGGACATAATACAAGTAAAAATCAAACAAAGGCTCTCTATAATATGAGAGATTTGAATTACTTTATTAAGACAATTGAAAAAGACCTAAGTGATAAATTTGGGAAGATGAATAGCAAGGACTTTAGCAGTATGCCAACAACTCCCACTTCTATTTTGAAAAAAGTTGAAGATTAAATGAAAGCATTGGCTACTTAGAATCTTCTAAATCCAAAGAATGACATTAAATCATAAATGTCAAACACATGCCCCAATATTGCTCAAGTATTGAGCCAATTAGACACATAAGGGTACAAGAATTTTTCAAATTAGAATTATTTGAGTCATCCCAAAGATGCCTCCAAATAAAATGTTCTTTAAATATCGAATATCAAAATGAATCAGGGCACTGATAATTTAAAGATTGGAGCAGGAGCAGTAAGCGAGGTTTTGAACTCAAGTAATCATACTCCTTCTAATATTTCTAATAATGGTGGAAATTTGATCATGGCACAATCTTAGAATTCTTTATCAGGTTACAGTCTTGGAAATTAACATGAAAAGTTTTCTTTCAGTAAAACTCAAAAGTTAGACTTAAAAGAAGCAACTAAAAATCTGTTCTCGTATCAAATTCCTAATAGAGAAGGCCATACAGCTAGAGATAACTCTAATGAAAACAGGAAATATAAGGTCTAGTAGTTTGCAGAAGAAGCGTAAGCTCGCAATAATTCTAAGATTCCAAAATCTAGTCAATCAAAGAGATCAAGAGGATCATAGGAAAAGTACCTAACTAATAACAACTAAGTCTTGATTAATAATCCAAGCGGGTCTTCCAGTTTCACTAAACTTAATAAAAGCTTAAATAATATCAGTCAGGTAGCAGCTCAAGTGCAAAACTAAAATAAGAAGAAGGAGCAGCTTAGTAAGTCAATGATTAGTAATTTTGTAAAGGCAAATAATATGAGCCCCAATAACAAAAAGCTCGTTCAATAGATGATTAAATCCTAACTCTCAGGAGCTCCTAGTTCAGCAACTACCCAGTTAAATCAAACTTCTAACAACGGTCAGAATATGAATAATCAATACAGTTACTCAAGCAATCTGCTTTATGATTACATCTAAAACTCTGATCAAGTCTCTAAAAAGCTTTCTCAGAATGTCAAAACTCCAGTTAAGAACTAAAATTATCAGAAAGTAACTGGAAAGATTGGAAATTACTCTGAAATACTAGATATTTCTCCCTCTAGCGGGGAAAAGGAACTTCGATACTTCTCTAAAAACTTGTTGTGATAAAGACACTCTCAGACTGGTTCATCAATGAATGAGCCATAAATTCTTCATTCATCAATGTTCCTCAATTCAATATACACTTTTAAATTAAAATAGACTAATTTTAAATATTTGCTGAATAATTTAGAATGAAATACTCTTTCTAGTAAATATTGTTTTCTGGGGTTTTGGGGTTTTGGGGTTTTGGGG